AGCCCCTGAGAGATGATGCGTTACAATGGTCAGGTGGTATTCCTCCTGTGGGTGGGGGCACAGTACCCCACCTTAGACTCAAGCTAAACAAGCGTGAGATTGTTGGACTCATGGGTGTCACAGGAGGCTCTGCGAAACTTGGAAAGTGAGCATCAAAAAGCCGACGATATTATCCTATCCATCCTTCCTTCTTCACAGACATCCGCTGCATCTGGAGCGGATAATACACCAATGTGCCCAGATTGGCGGTGCTAACTTGAAGCATATCTCTGAGGGACAAGTAGAGAAATGCGTGAACAATATCTCTAATTAGTAATGAATAATATGGTTCACGGATATGGTGACGAATTGTCGTTATTATCATTTGTACGATAGTTTCAACGCGACGATGCAGCACAAGTTCCCCTCCTCCCCCAGCCCTACTCCTAGAGATAGCGATGTGGAGATCGTCACCACTGGTGATGATGAACATATGACTCGCACTCCTGGCGTGTATATGTGTGTTCAGGTGACCACTCGCCAGCTGCTAGTGACACCAACAGTTTGCCCGCTCCCACGAGTCCAGAGGCAAAGGCCACATCTCCTTCACCTGAACCAGGTACCGGCTCGTAGCAAGTTCTGAGGGTTCTAGCGTATCTCGGTGAGCTCAGATCCAGTAACGAATCAAGCAACTCTAACTGTGGTCCCGCATCTACCTGGTGGACGTGGTAAAATCAAAGATATCCCCGATATCAACGAATTCCTCAAGTAGAAATGTCTGATGGGACCGCTACCATTATCCCTGTCCGTGATCAGATATAGTGTTTATAGGGACGAGTTCGAGAACGACTGGAATCCGGACGCTGAGAGCCTGGTAGCCGAGCTGATGAGCGACAATCAGACCGATAAGCTACCCGATATGAACGACGCGGAGACAGCGAGGAACGGCCGGATCATGATGGCATACCATCAGCTGGTACAGGGGGCTCATCTTGCGAGAGCTATCTGTTCATATATAGTTGAGTAGTTAGTATAGTATCGTAGTTGATAGCATCGCGTATGCTCTAGGTAGCTAACTTTCCAGGTTACCGAGCGGGAAAGAAGGAAAAATTTACTCGTTCATCCCCGTGACCGCCCAAGCTTCCTTTATAATGTTGGAGCTAACTTCAACGAGTATCAGGCCTCGTGCAAAAGACGTAAGACTGATGAAAAGGTAACGGCCATAACTTTGACAACGATGAATAAAATAGGACTCTTTAGTTGATTTTCGAACGTCTCAAGATCTTCGCGCCTGCCATAGATGAGACCGCGGACGAAGTTCTGAGTCGGTTGGCAAGTGGTATCTGTCATGAGGTGAAGTTGAGGGAGGTAGGTATTTATATATGCTATTCAGCTTGATTCGAAGGTCTGTGTAGGAAATGGATAGCCGTATAGACCGACGAGTTCGTGGTTGTGGGGACCAGAAGGAATATCAGAGATATCTCCAGGTCGAAAAAGCTCGCCGAGACGCCATGAAGTACTACTATTATGTGGGGAATCGTTCCGTGGGCATCTGTACGATTTCAGGAGGTCTGGGGCGAGCTCCGCTTACGTATACACAGACAATGCTTCTCTCTCGAGGTCGCAGATGACACCTTTAGATGGAGGAAGCCTGTCGGCGACCTGGTAGTGCCGCACTGCTTTATCATTGGTTAGCTGGTATTGTCGATTTCAGGACGGCAAGCTCTCTCCCTCATTATGACCAACTACCGACCGCTGATAGATCCAAGTGTGAGAGTTTAGGTATAGCTCCCATGCATTTTGAGGCAGTCCAAGCATTACTAACGGACATTGTTCAGCGGATGCCGGAAGGGTAGCCAACAAGTTGGCGTCGATATCAATATCCTCAGTTCTCACAGGAGCCCTAGACTCAAGCCTGATGATGTCATGGATTTGATCGATGATCGCATCATTGGTGCTATATCGAGACAGCATCAGAACACATGGCATCGAACCGATGTAAGTTTCGCTTCGGAAAGAACAATATGATGAAGTGTGAATGTTGTCAGCCAGACCACTTGAAGCGTATGAGGAAGAAAAAACAAGATTTAATAGTGCATATACTACACCGCTTGTATTCTCCTCGACCACCGTGAACTTTTTTCCACATTGAATGAATTGTTCTGGTTAGCCGGGTTGGGTGATCAGTGGTAATACTGTATTGACTAACCGTTTTCTAGAAAGGACTGATACACGTCAAGTAAACGCGCAGGAGTCAAAAAGGTTATGCAGAATGAGAGAATGCAAGCGCTTCTCATGTTACCTATGTTCTTCCGTAGCTGACACTGTTGAACTCGAGACACATTATATACGATGGAAACTTATCAACGTTATGTCCAGTCTTATAGATGACTACTTCCACCCGATTGTTCTGACAAACGCATTTTCTTGAACAGCTTGGCAGCTTCCAATAGTTTAATCTTCGGTTTCTTGGCAACATCCCCAGCCACCTCGTCATCCGGAAACTCCCATACAGTTATCATTACCTACGAATATGTACATATGGGCTACTATAACAGAGAGAAGTGGTTAACGGCTGCACCTACTGTATCATCTGCACCAGACTCTCCACCACCGTGGCTTGGGTCAACACGTCCCTTGTGCTTGACAGCCTTGGGTTGCCGACTCTCAATGTTAGCAATATCGCTATAAGGAAGGGGAATCGAAAAGATACGATTTTATTTTCTTTCGATGATAACTCACTCATTTTTGACTTCCTTCGCTAACTTCAACATATACTCAAGTAGCAACCTGCGGGACTCAGGATCCTCGTCCTTCTTGGCCTCCGCGATACCGCGTTCGAGAACCTTCCCGAACATCCACCATCGATCAAATGTGAGCTGACGAAGTTGGCTCACCTCTTTCGCCTTCAGGAACGACTGGTCCCCATGTTTCAATTCGAAATCCGCATACGACCGCCAAACCTTGACGTGGGTAGTCCGATCAAGTAATCGCTCGAATAGGTCGCTGAAGTAGTCAATACATTCAACTCCTCAACAGCTCGCGTTACATACCGGGCATTCTCCATTTCTCCTTGTTCTATCTCTAAATCGATACATTTCTTCCAAATGAGCTCCGGCTCGTTCATGACCTCCTCACTCTCGTCAGATGCCGATTCGTCCGCGAGCTACGGCAGGAACGATCCTTGTTCATTCAGGCATATTATTGGAAATACCCTAATGGCCATCTCCCCAAGTTTCCGAGCTCTGTTGACCTCAGAGAGCTTCATCTCCATATCCATCCAGCACACCCAAGAGGCTGCTTCGAGCGAGTGAGCGGATACGTAACTATCAAACATGGAAAGTACCCCTCTAGGTAGCGTGATGTTGACCTATAACGCTCAGGAGCAGAGCGGGTCTCTACCTAGCGCAGATCCTGCGTGGTCGATCCACCTGACCAAGGTTGAATTCAAATTGTATGTAAGAGCGGAACACTGAAGCTTTCTTGGATTCGCCGATTGCGCGACCGTACCTGTAAACGCAGCAGTCGTAGAGATCACACATGAGCCAGAGAGGAACATGGACAGTCTACTAAATCAGAGCAGCCTTACACAAGCCTAGCGCGGCCAACATCCATCTGACGAATCTCAAACTCCGCGTAAGCGTTGTACAGTTTGCTGAAGTATATCTTCCGTGATCGAAAGAGTTCAAGAGCTGTATGATATCTACCATAATTTGAATCAGTTAATATAACATAAAATGACAGCAATGAGATCACTGTGTTCTCATTATTACACTTCTCGAACCCTATCGGGTGTCGATTCCCCAGATTGAATGAGAGACTCCTCATAGTTGGCATAAAAGAGCCATATATACCTACCATGGAGTAGGGATCTATACAAGTAAATAACACAGGCTATTAGTCGTACACATATCGCCTATAGAGATCTTTCCGCCCCTTAGGAGCTGCTTGTTCGGGTGGCAGGGCTGCGGCGATGGCTCGTTCGTACACTTCCCGGCATTGGGCCGCGGAGTCTCCGATGTTTTCTTCGAGGAGTATCTACCATGCGATGCGGATATTGACAAGGCGGGAGGGCAACGGGGAATAACGATATCGTACATAGTTGATCCAAATATCCACGTCAACGCCATCAGCGTCAGACAGCTGTTTCTCATACTTTAACCTGCACTTCTCGAGAAGGAGTCTCTCAATATCTGTTCGAGTGCCTTTCTGCTTCATATACCTGAGTATATGTAATTTCCCAGCCGAATTAGGATTTATTCGTAGTACTTGGCGTATCTGTCACGCAAGTAAGCAGTCCTTTCCGGGGGCAGGGTATCTATCCCAAGCTTGTAGACCTTCGCTGCTGCCGAAGGATCATCTCTTGCAGCACGTTGCTCGAATTCTGCCCATTTCACGTATCTGCAGCGTGGAATCTCAGTACCAAGGGCAACAAAGAAATGTCCCTACAGATCCTCGGTTATACCCTCCGGTCCCAAATCGTCTTTCAAAGCGTCATGACACGTCTGATAACCGGCCCTCGCCCGAACCTGGAAATTACAAAGCTCGCTACGTCCTCTCCCCGCAATGCTAGATGGCTACTACATTATTCCCATGCCTCTCTTCAAACTTCGCCAGGCGTGTGAACGACATGACTGTTTGGATTTGTGATACATATCTGTCACATGATGTTCCACAAAGTAGAATCCCCGATAATAACCTTTCATAGATGGCCCGGGCCCGTTCAACTTCATGGCATCGGAGCTCGAACTTGATGTATTGGAGCCAGGCGTTATCACTGGGCTGCCACTGCATCCACCTTTCGTAGACCTAGATGACGATCAAATGAGCCTTCTCTTTTACTCCCTGTGGGCTATACCTTTCTTGCCGCAGCATAATCCATGAGAAGCTCCTCCATATAAGCGTATTTATACCAGAACTGATCATGGCGAGGGAGGAGGCTCGTGACTCGGTCGAACCTATTGAGTTCCAGAGTATTATTCAACAGGATAGCGCGGCTTACAAGTTCCTCGCATGAGCTACGAACTTATGTTTCATTTCCATCTCAATATACTTCAATCAAAGAGATGAGTTGCGATAGTCGATTTGTAGTGCTCTCTCGAACACTGATCGCGCCCTCCTGAACTCTTCCTGAGACTCTTCCCACTGAGCATATCTGTGAGATCCATCTATGACTCGCCTCCCATGATGGTAGTCCCATCATCCTCTTCCCCTTACTTAATCCAAGTGCCCATATGGTGTCGTTGTTTACGTAAGGTGTCCTCGAACTCTTTCCGCTTGCTGACTCTAAAAGAGATCCACTAGTCGATAGATGGACAGTAGTATTCTCAGATCTACTTATAGTCAGCAAGCTCCTCCTTGCTCGCGATCTTCCGAGATGGCCCGGGACGCTCCTGGAACAAGAAAGGTGAAGAGTAACAACCGCTGGAATAATAACACTACATCGCCCATCCGTTCGACTGCCTCCCTCAGAATTTGCTCGGCTGTAATCTGTTGCGGATTGGCCGTCGCATTTTTCACAGCGAACTTATCCTGTTTCGGCGGCATCTTGACGGAGTCGGCTGTTCGAGAAGCCGGGTAACAACTACACCGCCACTACAAAGGACAACACCAAATCAAGCGGTTAGCCTCATAGATAACACTAACTCCACGCAATGACTTTCAATGAAACAGGTGCTAGAAGAACATCATCTTCAGGGCTCCGCAGGATTGATCTACATAGGGCTGAAGTTCCGTCTGAAGCGAAAATAGTTACTTATTGCGCATCAAGTTATTCCCCGAGACATACAGGAGCTTTGGAGTTCTGCAGCGCCAGGAGCATACGATTCAACAATTGCAGTCGTGTCTTTATCGCAGTCTGTAAGGCTAGCTCGTTCATCTGTGGAGGAAGAGGTCACAGCAGGGAATGAGAAGGGATCCACAGATACCGACCTGCAGCTCCACAGCCACCAAGAAGGTATCAGCAAACTCGCACCCCAACGGAGTCAACTGAGACCAGTGTGTGCCAGTGGCTGAAAAGTGTGAACAATGGGAGAACTCTCGGAATACTAGAAGAGGATGGGATTACACTGTAGCGGAGTAGATAGTTCGTTGATATCCTTCATCAATCCCTCTAGCTTGGTGCAGAGTACAGGACCCTTCATATTGCGCCTGAGAAGATTAGATACAAAAGCGGTATACATTCGTGTCGGCCCTACTTCACAACCGTTGGAGTAATCGGTCGAACTGCATCAGCGTGATCAGGAAGTAGATGAGCACGGATCTTATTCAGCCTCTCTCGGAGTGCTGGCAACGTCTTCAGGGTTGCTGGGGCGGTAGGTACAGTGGAAGCTGATACAATGCATAGTAGAAGCTTACGATCATTCCTCGTCTTAGTGGGATCATATCCCTCGGCCGTATATCGCACCTTCTTATACTTAGGCTCAAAAGCTCCAAGACCTGATGTCTGGTCACGCCTGTGGAGTGGATAAGGAATGCAAGCATTATCGAACACTGCTGCTCTTACGCGGCTTCTTCGTCTTCAAGACCATCCGCGCTCGACTCTGAATCTTCAGACTCTGATAAGGGCTCGCCTGTGTCGTCTCCCTGACCGGCTTCACCATCCTCTTCTTCAAACGCCGCGTGCTCCTGATAGATACATATGGGACACGACCAAGGGAATGCATGCTCCGCCCTCCTGGTGTACCTCCATCACTGGCTTGGAGCCTATATCTGCCTCCCCGGTACTGAACACGGGATGCTTCCAAGTAACCTAAACAGTATGCCGGAATTATCGAGGCCTGCCGCTGTCATATCAATTGATGCCTTTTTAGTGGCATTCTCCACGTAGTAGTGCCGCTGCTGATCTTCATCCCAATACTCAGTCCATCCCTCTGGCAACTTCACTCGTACATTCTCCTGAGTAGAACTCACCGATTACAAGCACTGTAGAAAGACGTTCTCCATACTGGTTTCAGTTGTTTGATAGACCCATCGCAGTTGAGCTTGACATCGTAACGCTTCTTATCACTATTCCATCCAACTACGATTCCGTATTGCCCATTTATCCAACTGAACAGCAAAGCTGCTCCAAACGCTCTCTGTGTACAGCCTTACGTTGCACTAGCACTCTTCAGACCAGCAACATGAACAGCGCATCCATCAGGAAGTATCTACAATAGTCCCGTGACCACCCACAAAGAGGAGTCCTGTCACAGGACTTATCCCACACTACCCCGGACTCTTTCTGTTTCTTCTTTCTCTCAGCCGCCTCCTCAGCCGTCTCAGGTGCATACATCAAATTATCCGGTTTGATAGCCATAATTGAAGCAGTCTTATCCAGTTTGATCTCGAACCTACCACTACGACTGTTCTTGCCCACCACGGTACCTGATTGTCCACACTATTCCTCCCTCCCGTCGTCAAACTACTACCAGAAGTGCCGTTGAGCTCAGGCTTACTCTTCAACCCTAGTACCTCCACACGAGTACCTGTCCGATGTGGTGCATCCGGAGCTGGTTCGTAGTCCCATCCATACCGATAGAAAAATTAGCTTCAGTGTCTTTGAGTTCCTCCGTTTGTTGCTGTTTACGCTTGGCACTCTCCTGGCAACAGAATGGCACTCAGGCGAGCTGGCATTGATAGGGGGCATACATTCTCGGGAGTAATCAACTCCCAGTCTTTAACCTCCCGATTGATACAATGCTTCGCCCAGAGATAGTACTGATGAGCTTCATGTTCCTCATCTCGAATGAAGAGCATCTTAGGATCCTTCGATGATCTGGCAAGGGGTAGAATTCAGATGTGCAATGGATGAGTGACGCTCCACAAGCTCGGGCGGGGAGCCGCCGCTGAATGGAAGGAGCAAGGGACACCAAATCACTACTTTATTTTGTTCTCTAATCCCTCCGGGTTCTTGCTCTTACAGACGAATTCTGCTGTCTTCACGATCCGATTTCTCAACACTGAGACAACTCAGGATGAACACTCATGCAAGTGCTGGGGAGCCGCGTTCTAAAGTCTGGGCTCGAGGGATGAGAACACCTTGCCCTACCCTCGTCGTCGGGAGCCCTCACAGGTCTCATGTCATATCTTCCTTTTTTCCTTTCCTTTTTTCGTTTCTCAGACAGCAAATCTCTGCCCAATTGACCTGAGTCATAAACAGCTATGTTCACTGAAGACCTTCCCCATATTACCACCAAGCCTCACCTCCTAAATAGTCGTAAGATACGTGATAGTCGTAATCTTCACGTTTGTTGAAATCGTATGTTGGTATATAGCCCGCTAATCCGCTTTCACCCCCTCCGGCACCATCCATGAGAGGCTGAGAATAAACAGCTCGATTCAAACTACATCGTATTCCCAGCGGAGAAGATCCCTCAATCGCCCATTGCACTGTGAACCCAACATATAACACCGACAACACGGAGAGAATGTATGCCTGAGGCGTACATGTATGAGGGAAACTGCAACGGCTCGGATACGGATTATCTAGCCGATAAACTTACGTGTACATTTCCAATCTACATGCACTGCGACAAGGTCGTTGCCGAGCGCCTGTCCTAGAGCTTGTTCCAGTTCTGAGTGGTTACGCGTAAGGAGGAGAATCACAGCAGTGCACCACGCCGAAACCATACTCCCTACTTCTCGGTACGGAATGCCGGCGAGGCTCACCCGATACGTTCTGCGGACGCCAATCTCCATTTCTATCGGGTGTAATATTCTTCCCAACTGAAGTTGAATTTCCTCCTCGTATTGAGTCCCATAGAGCCCGGCTCACCGGCAACTACAACACACATCGCCTCCCTAACTCGTATTAACTCACATTGCTCGGAACTTCAAGACAACCAAGCAAAATGTCCGATGAACAACATGAAAAGAAGTTTTGAGTTGCATGTCCAGGAAGCGAATCCCGACCTACATGATTCGCTCGCATGATTTCTCGGCAACCTAGATGATAGAGTTAACGAGTATGAAGAGCCTGATATATAGCTCAAAGGCTCACGCCTTCGGTACCCATCTTAGTCCTCACTAGAACGCCAAAAATTATCGCAGCCTGGATTGACTGTCAAACTCGTTGTAAGCCCTCATTAAAATCGCTATTTTGGACCGAAGCTCAGCCTGGTTACTTTCACGACTCGATGATCTTGACTGCTTTGCCAACAGGATACACGAGCATCTATTCACCAATTTTGGTGGAACGGAATACATCATGCAGGAGACCTAAACCTCAACTGGAGAATGTATACTCGTAACCAACAATTGTGTGCCGACAAGCATTACGTTCCAGGTAAGTACACCAATCACTAGGACAACACCGACGTTGCTTTTTCATCAATGCCAACGCTATTCGTTGCTATGTAAGTACTGACCATGGCCGAATCACGACTCGAAAGTCGGATTAGCTTCCGCTTAAGTTCTGATCCTTCGAAAATTGCCGAGTATGTGAGACTCAGTACAACGGCTATAGCGTGGTAAGACCTAGCCCGATTATCCACCGGGATGCACTTATCTCCTGTTCATCCTAACAGACTTCCACAGGCTGCAACTTCTCACTGCAACACCTTCCTATCCCTGTGAAGTGCTTGTTTACTCAGAGAAGGCTTAATGATTCGCGCGGAGGGCAATGGCTGGTGTATCAAGTTCCCAACAGCTAGTTGGGTGGAAACTCAAGCTAGGTTTCGAATATCTGCCAGCTTCTACAGCAATCCCATCGGCAACAATCGTTGTCAATTCGTGATGTGCCAAAGAATCCACGATGAAGTGAGTATTCGCCACGCAATTGAGGATTGTACGCGCAGAGACAGCGGTGCCGACTCCACCCAATACTACCATCATACTTGAGACTCTCGGCATAATGTCGAGCATGATGTAGTCTAGAGGCATAAATGAAGAGAATTGAACGGCACAGGAATTCGATGACGGTAGGAAAACTGACTCTGAATTGTGTAGGGCTTCGACATCGTAAACAGTCTAATTCCAATCATGCTCCCACCGTTATTGAGAACCGATACTCCGTGCCATTTGAGGATTTAGACCATGCATACGCGCATAACATCTTTCATAAAGTTCTCAAAGAATCTACCTAGCAGAAAGAGCATGTTTCAGCAAGCTCGGTCATGATGAAGAATTGCCAGCAGAATGTGGGCATAATTCGAAGCTGCGAATCGATCACATGGGCGCGCGTCTTGCGCAAGATATGAAACCGTTGAACGCACCCTGTCGTGCAACCCTCCTATTTCAGCTGCAGATCTTTCAGCATCAGGCCTCACATCTATGCTTTCAGCTCTGACGGATCTTGTCAGCTAGTTGCGAATCAGACCTTGCGGTACGTCCCTTATTTCGCGTGTATCATGCTCGATGGTGATTCATTTTGATCACCACGGTGACGACAAAGGCGTGGTGACGCCAACTGGAGGTCCTTGCTTGACCTGGGTGGCTTGACCTAAGGAACCTACAGCAATGAGTCATACGGTCCTAGCTGCTCGAATAGCAACCGCACGGTGACCCTTGTCGAGCTTGCTCTCACCGAAATCGGCTCTTCTGCTCCTCGACACGAGCACTGCGATCTGGAGCTCAATCAGATCTGCTTAATACAGTTCCACAGTGTGGGGAGATGTCGGACGGTAGACAGTAAGGAACACAACCCTGAGGAACTCGAATTGTTGTTGTGGAATGCCATAGTTCGGTCGGCTAGAGAGCCGAGAGATAAGTCGAGATAGTTTCTCACCATCTGATGCTCGATTCGAGGAATTCTCTCATTTCTGCAATGGTTATTGAACCCTTACGTTCGTTACGTAGATCCTACTGATGCCTGGGATTGCGCCAAACAGTGCCACTCGGGTCGACATGTCCCTTCCAGCTAGCGGTGTGTTCGCTTGTCCAGCAAAATTGATGGTCTTTGGACTTCTTGAATTGGCTTGCGCGGTGTTAAGTTATGAGTTAGCAGTTGTATTCGTTTCGGTTCAGCCCATGTCGAGCGACGGTGGCAAGGGAGATGTTCCTGCTCAGAACAAGGATAAGGGAGATGCCAATTCTGCTGACAATCATGGTACTGATGGTCACGAGTGCAGCGTATGTCATAACGAGGAACCCTTCGATAAGGTCAGTAATGATGGTATGAGGATCACCAGATTTGGTAATGCTCCTGATAATGAGCACGGTCCGAGCTGGCTCAATGAAGACGGCACTGTGGATCCTATTGAGTTTGCTTTGTCCGAGGTCGGATATCTCGATTTCGAAGACGATAACTTCCAAGATGATTTTGCCCAGTCTTGTGCCATGTATGGTTTCAAGCCGTGGGAGATGTGGTAACTTTTGATTATCGTCACTGATTGGTATTACAGTTAATCGATTTTAATGTTTATACCTATACTCTTGTGTTATTAGTTATATAGGGTAGGCCTGCCCAGTGATGGTTTCCAGAGCCGATTCTAGTAGAGGTATAGTCACGGAAGCAGCAAATAATTGCGAGTGTGATGGCCGTCAGGAGAGCCTCTACCGCTGCTAGCTGATGTGCTTCTAGTTCGTTAAGCGTTCTCAGCTTATGTGGTTTTGCTTAAGTCTCAGTTCGGGGGTCTACCAGTATGGTACAACGCGGTTGGCAGAATAGTTTCAATCACTGGTTCTATCACGTGGCAGTCACCCTAGGAGAAACTGTGGCAGCAGTTGAGATGGATGAGAATGGGAAGGCAGTGCGGAATGTATGAGCAGAATTAGTGGTAGAGAGCAGTGGATGTAGCTCATGTTGATAGCCTCAGATTGGTTACTGCGACCTGTATAAAACTGCTTACGAGTGCGGTGTAATGATACGTCACAATTTGGAATTGTGCGGCTTGTCGAAGTATCCTTATGATAGGCAGAACTTTCCACGTGGTGTTGTGGCTCTCAACACACCAAGGGGAATCGACTGGTACACAGTGTAAGTGTGTGTAGCTGGATTAATCCAGGTGTCTAGTCTTGCTCTACGTAGATACCTAGCTTGTCTCTTAGCTGGCATCCCAACGGTCAGTCTGACTAGTGGTGGGACGGAGGCTTCAGCTACACAGGAGACCGCCAGGTCATTATTGGTTCAGAGACTGTTGATGCCTTGTTTACTGATTGGTGAAGAATGTGGTCTAGACTGCCCCAGGCTTGGAGTTGAAGATGTGCTTGCCTCCATCAGCTGCAAGACTACTGCTGAAGATTGCCTGCGGGAATACGCTTTTGGTGACCGCGACACTGTAGCGTACCACTTTACTGGAGGTCAGTAAACAGCACGCTACTACAGTCATTCCCCCGTGTTTGACTCCTCCCTGAATCTCCGACGAGCTACTTCGTTCAGGTACCACTTCATCGAGTAAATGTGTCCGTATCACTTTGGGAATGATTATGCACGAACTTGAGAAATATGCTGAAGTTATTCCCAGGACATGGAAAGGAATTGGACGATCTGCTGTGATTCAATCGAGTGATGAGACGTGACTCTGCTAATAATTTAACTTGAAATTATTAGGTAGTGTCTACTGGGCTGCTAGCTGTTATGGTCAAGTGGACATATGCTTGGCCTTCCACGGAACTCTGGTGATGGAATGCACGACGTGCTAATATCTCGAGCGTCCATTGTCAGATCCTCTCAGCACCTTCCATGGGTGATAGCAAACTATCTCCCATGGATAAGACCGAAGGTCCGTTCCGCCTCATAAAGCATGCTATGATATCGGGACGATATGATACCGTCATCGCCGGGCTCGTTCCTACTCTAATGGATGCGATGCTACCTCCTGATGAGGAGTGGTGGACAAGAGGCACTACCATACGGAAGAAGAAGCTCGTAAGTTCCTCGTGGACTCAGCAGAGGCTTCGTTGGCGAGCAACACTTTGTTTTGTAGTTGGTCTTCACTTGGGGTGAGGCCTGCCCTCAGTCACTCGTTGACAAATGGAGTAGAGCAACTCTGATCGAATTGTTGGTGGCTACCGAGTGAGTCGACGAACGTTTCTCTCTGATGCCATGTCTGGATGCTTTGCAGGTATTGGTTATCTCTATTCTGTATACGATCTGTAACAGTCCGTGGCTGTCGTCCTCCTCCCGTGCGGTACGCAACTGTCTCCGGGTGCGATGTCAGCGCCAAACCTCTGAGTTCTACCGCGGAAGCTGGTACTATGGTCATGAGGGGTAGAATGGTCACTCCTGGGTATGTCACTGAACCTCTTCACACTGCGCCCAGCATTGAGGAGATACCCCTGGCAGTGGATGGTATGGTGGAAAGCATTGCTACTTTCGAAACAGAGGACGTTATTCGGTTCGTGAAGGACTCAGAGAACGGCGACTCTTCACCTATGTAGAGTGCTTGGGTCGAGA